CTTTGTACAGCATGGAGAAAGCGTTGGTCTTGAATCGATTTATTGGCATCAAACTGAGATAACTTCGAAACAGGTTGGAATGGAGGGCGAACTCCATCACACTGAAAAAAGATATGATTAAACAGGCGATAATTGAAAAAAATGATATGAGCGAAGCAAAAAACATCAAAATTTATGCATTCAACTTTCTCAATATATAAAGAGGAGTGAGCTTCTCACTGGCGATAGAGAAGGAAGTTTTTGATGACTAAACATTGAATAAATTAAAGAACGTCCTAGTTCCAAAAAAAATTAAGGAAGAAAACCATTCGACGCCTATGATAGCAGACCGAAACATTGAATAGTGCATTTCCAGTTGTTAATCAAGTTCACGCAAACGATTGAAGGTGATAATCTTCGAAAGTTATTCACACACTGACAATAGCAAGCACACTTACGTTTTTTAATTCCTTATGCTTCTTAGAACAGTCCACAGAACATGTCCTGAGATCACACCTGGGGCACCTGTAGCACGTAAAAATAGTAGATACAGTGTGGTCTTAGTCAGTTTGCACAAGAAGGTATTCAACAGACAAATTATGTCATGCTTGGATGGATTCAAGTCGAGGTTTATTTCGACATTTTGTAAGCCAATGAATGTCAAACGAACGAAAAAAATCACAGATATTTCTAGATTTTCCTGAGCGCAGGTAAACATGATTTGTTGACCACATGTTTACAATTTTAAAATGTAAACATGAGCACAAAACAGAAAAACAGATGGAAAGAAAACAAATAAAACATTTCTTATTATTTTAAGAAGTATCGCGTCGCCAGAGATTTTTCGAGAAAGATAAGAAAATCTCATTTTAAAAATATTACTAAGGCTTAAAAATGATCGAATATGTGTGCTCAAAAGCGCAAACCTGTATTTATGAGGAACCTTCTGACAAATAGTGCAGAGTGTAGGATCAAGCGGTTGCGTAAGAGCTTCCTCTTTTTCCTCAGCCTTCTGGAAAGATGCACTCTCGATCTCTATTAATTCCAAATCTCGCGAGACTATTTACCTTTTTCGCAACTCTATTAAGTATTTCTTCAGGAGGTTCATCATCACTTGAGTTGCTTACATCCTCGTTTGTATCTCCATTTATTCGCTCTAACACAAGCAAGATTCTTACTAAAGCTCATTCCCACGGTAAAGAAAGCAAAGATAGAGGACAAACCTGGCGCCAAAGGTATGTATGATGTGTCTTCAGTGTCAATAATTTCGCCTTCTTCCATACTTTCCATCTTATCTGGAAATTATGTGACATTAGCCTTTACCTTCTTGGTTACAACAGCAAAGAATACTGGGGTTACCATTTTCCGCTTCTGCTGCACCCCCATTGTGGCATAAACTTACATCCGTACTCATTTCCTTGAATTCATAATGAACTTTGTCAAAAGAACAAGCAAAGAAGAGATAAGGAGCATAAAAGCACTAATATCAAACGACCAGTTCAAGCACTGACATTAGG